CTACTGCTCCCTGCTGCCCCAGGCTGTTCTCACCCCACAGGTCCCACCCCTTCCTCTCCTTTTCCCCCCACCCCTTCCCTCCTCTTTCTCCCATCCCTTCTCACTCCTTCTTTCCCACCCTATCAACCCCACCCACAGGCATGGTTCTCCCCATCCCCCTTGGACAGCATATTTGAAGCAGGTCTCCATATAGAACTTGAACATACATGCAGGCTCGCTTCCAGTATTATGCTACACTATTGTTCAATGTCCGAACTCACTGATTCAATTCAGTCCAACTAAGATGCATGAAGAGTTTCTGCCTGAGAGTTAAATTACTGGCTAAGTGCTCTGGCCCCAGACCCAGCCTGCCTGGCTCCCTTCCTTACCAGTTGTGCAACCAGCAGTAAATTAACCTCTCGGTTTCCTGTCCTGTAAAACTCAAATAATAATGCAGCTCATGGGTTATATGCGAAAATTAAATTGTTGATATATGTAAAACAAGTGCTTAAAAGAGTGCCTTGCACATACTAAGTGCTCAGTAAGTGTCCGGCATGATGATGATGATGATGTCCCAACATGGGGGGCACAACTTGGGACATGTTTTCCTGTCCTCCAGGAGCTTTCCTGTCAAGCATGATAGACAAAGAAGTGAACCCAGCACCCGAGTCCGGAGTGAGCAGTGCTGCTGATAAAGGAAGAGCTTGCTCCAAATCTCTCTGCCTCCCTAAGCTTTTATTTACCTGTAACTCCAGAGACAAAAGAGCCAGAATTTAGCAGCACGGGCCACATACTGGGCTGAACATGTGGGGCAGAGGGATTCAAATCGTATACAAAGCAGCTTCTGCATTTGAGGAGCTGGTACTTATGTGGAGGATAGACCAACACTTAAAAATTAGAACATGGCAAGCAGAAGGGAGATGGGCACAGGACAGCCAAGTAGTTGACTATTTACCCACATGGCCCGCTCAGTCTGCCCAGCAGGCTTCTGAGATGGGTAATCCTTTAACCCTTTGTTTTATTTTATATTTTTTTAGAGACAGAGTCTTACTATGTCACTCTCAGTAAAGTGCTATGGCATCACAGCTCACAGCAACCTCTAACTCTTGGGCTTAAATGATTCTCTTGCCTCAGCCTCCCAAGTAGCTGGGATGACAGGTGCTTGCCACAACGCCCGGCTATTTTCTTGTTGCAGTTGTCATTGTTGTTTAGCTGGCCCATGCCGGGCTCGAACCCGCCAACTTCAGTGTATGTTTCTGGTGCCATAACAACTATGCTATGGGCACCGAGCCGTTAGCCCTTTTTTTAACCTGTGAGCGAATGGAAGTTTGAAGCAGTGCGAGGTCCCCCACCTGAGTCCTTGTGGCTAGGAAGTGACCAGCGTCCACACTGAGGTGTCTGACCCCAGAGCCAGAGCTCAGAGTCATGATTTCCTCCGGCAACTGCATTGTCTCATTTCATTTAATCTTCTAAACAACTCTGAGAGGAAGTGAGTAACCCAGCTGATGAGGGCACATGATGCACAGAGCCAGTGAGGCTGCAGTGAAGCAGAGAGGGCTTTGAGAGGGGACTATATTCCAACCTCAACTTCCCTTGCCCCAAATCCTGGAACGCTGTGCTAGGCAGGTGTTAACACCTGCCCTATGCACCGCTTTTTTTTTAAAGACAAAAAAATTGAACTGATACCCTGGCTATAGTGCTTTTATAATTTTTCCTCTCTTAAAACATACATTTTGAAAACTAAAAACACTCTCTTATTTTGAAATTAAGCTCAACAGCTGAGCAATTACAAGTGCTGACTTGTTAGCATTATTAACATTGACATCTTGTGGCTACTTTGGGAAACTGCAGGACCAAACCAGCGGGACAGAAACTGGGTCAGCTGCCAGATTCCCAGACCTGCAGGAATCTTAATCCAGCTCCACTCTCCAAGGTACTTAGGCAAGTGCATGGTTCTTCAGCCCCTGTTCCTAGGCATCCTCCACTGTCGCCGAGGGTAGGGTTCACCTGGCACCTCGCCTCCTTCTTCCCCATGGCTGTAAGTGTGTCTCTCCCCCTATCTAGGCCATTTCTTGACCTGTCAGATGACCAGGTAGGCCACATCAGCTCTGTCCAGTAGGTTCTGACACTCCCTGGCTCTGGCCTGCCAGTCAGATGAAGGAAAAACGGCATCTCAGTGCTGTTTTCATTTGAACATGTTTTGAAATGCTTGTTGGATACTTCTTTTTCTTTTTCTTTTTTGAGATAGGGTCTCACTCTGTCACCCTGGCTAGGGTGCAGTGGAGCATAATATAGCTCCCAGCAACCTGGAACTGCTGGGCTCAAGTGATCCTCCTACCTCAACCTCCCAAGTAGATGAGACTACAGGTGTCCACCAGCACTCCCAGCTAATTTTTCTTTTTTTTTTTTTTTTCTCTTTCAGATGGGGTCTCACTCTTGCTCAGGCTGGTCTCAAACTCCTGAGCTCAAGGGATCCTCCCACTTCAGCCTCCCAGAGTGCTGGGATTACAGGCGGGAGTCATTACACCCGGCCTAACATTGCTTGCTCATGTTAGCTCTGCCCCATGTTAAAACAGACCTCCATACTCCGACCCTCTACCTTTTTAATGCTTTGCCTCCCGCTAATCCTCTCCCCAGTGGAAGCCTTGAAGGTAAGAACGCATTTATTCCTGAGTAGAACTTGCCTCAGCTCTTCTGCGTATGACCGTGAGCAAGCCCGGGACTCTTCTGTGAGAGGAGGAATGCTCACTCATTCACTTCACAGATATTCCTCAGGACACAGGAAACAGCAATCAGCTAGACTCAGTCCAGTCCCAGAGCGGGGTGAAATTCTTTTCTAATTTTGTAAGGTGTATAACGGACCCGGGCGGCAGCGTGACAAGGGTGGTGTGTGCGAGAGGGCTCTCAATTCGGAAGTGCCCACTTCCTGGTGGGTGAGTGTGTTTCATCTCTTCTGAGATGCACGGGATTTCTTTTCCATATCTTAACCTCTCTGATTCAACGTGCTCATTAAAATGACGCACCGCACCCACCGGCGGTGGCAGTCGCCGACAGAGCCTGGGCAAAGTTGGCGGGCGGGGCTCATTCCTGGCGGTACTACAACCCTCACTACATGACGGATCATTCAAGAAGGATCATGATGCCTGAGGAGATCAGAAAGATCTCTGTGAGCCCGAATTGGTGCAGATAGTTGGAGCCACTACAGAATGTCTTTCCCCACCCAGATGGAGCCCAAATCGCCCACCGCCAGTCCTGGTTTTGCCCTTCGGAGTCGCACAGGCAAACCCAGCTCTGCTCTCAGCTAAGCCAGAGGCTCTCCACCGCAGCTGCACACTAAAATAAACTAGCCAGTTGTAAAAACACTAATACCTGGTCTCCACTCCAAACCAATTAAATGCATTCTCTGGAGGTGGGCACACACATCTGTATTTTTTTTGAAGCCCCACCCCCAAATTCTGATTGAATGACCCAGAGCACAGCCTGGGCAGCCGGATTTTTCCATGTTAAGACGATTACAATGTGCAGCCGGCCCAGAGCTGCTGGGGAAAGCCTGTTCTGACCGTCCTAAGTTTGGAGTTGGAATAAAGGCCCTTAAGGAGCCACTACTGTATTTTGCCGTATATAATGCGCACTTTTGCCCATTTTTTTGAGGGAACAATAAAGATTTCCCATTATATTGATACAGGAGTGGTAATCCCGTATCTATATAAGTGTTTTTCTCTTATTATGCTGATGCATTCAAAGTAACTCTATGCTAAACAATAAATGCTAAAATTCCTTTATAGTACAAAAAACAAGTACCTAAATATAAACAAATAAAAATTTGAAATAAAAACAAAGTGTTTTTTCCTGAAAGTTTGGGCCAAAAATGATAGCTGGGTATTACACAGGGGAGCACATAGTGCATGGCAAAATGTGGTATTTCCCTCTCTGCCCCTCACAGTGGGTCTCCACCTTGCCTGCACGCGGGAACACAGCAAAGAACACTGACAAAGCTGATGCCCAAGCCACACCCCAGACCATCAAATCAGAATTTCTGGGCTGGGGCCCAGGCATCCCTAACTGTTAAAGTTCCTAGGAAGGAACCACTGCCCCAAACCCTGCAGAGCTCAGTGGGAAATGCCTGCATCCCTGAGGCGGGCCACTCTTGGCCCCTGCAGCTGCTCCGACTAGAGCACACCCACATGACCTGGGGCTGAGGCACTGATTTCAGCTCATTGGTTTGTGAACCAACCTCACTCCTTACCTGTATCTCCAGGGTTGGCCCCATTCTAAACCCTTACACATCACAGGAACTCCATGAGGAATGACCTGGTGAACAAATAAATGGAAAGATATATATATGTTTATTTACTTTGCCAGAAACTTTCTAAGCACAGGGGCACCACAAGTACTGTGCCAGTTTCAAGGACAGCGTAGAGATAAAGGGTCTGCAGTGAACACCATTATAAGATACCAGGTTACCAGTCGGGTAGAGGTCCTGACCTCCCAAGTCAGAGGTAGAAACCAAAACAGGACGGTTTACAAGAGGAGAGAGGAATTTTTAATTCCAGGTAAGGCCACAATTTACGGCTACACACGGTTGATTTTTTTGGTTCATTGTACAGAGTTAAGGAAAAAACGGGGGTGCCAAAAATTCAATATAGTTCTTATAGCTTTATTACACAGACATTATGCAATAACTTTAACATTGAACTTTAAAACACACACACACAGTTCTCAAAGAAGCTGTTAGTATGAAAGATTGAGGTAGAAGAAACTGAGTTCTTCAGAATTTGGTTCTTAACAAAGGGCCATCATTCATCACTTTCAAATGCTATTTATTCCCCACACGTAAGGAGTTCAGCCCTAGACTCCCACCACAAATTCTATAATCTTAATACAGCTTTTGTTTTAATACAGTTCTCAAAGAGTTCTATACCTTACTTTAAAATAGCTCAAGGCCTGACCAAGGTTCAGTTTCTTTTAAGACTACATTTGCAGAGAGCAGGGCCCAAGAGACCACACGTGTACCAGGTTTGTTACTGCTCATTAAGGCCCATGGCTTGCTCCACGGCTCGAGTGTCCTCCACTGGTGGCTTGGGCAGGTCCAGCATGGTGGACGCGTCGTTCCTGGGATTCCTGGTAACCAGCATCCAGTGGTTCTTTGGTTTTTCAACTTTGTGTGAATCCAGATATGTGTGAGCTACAACTTCCACTTCCTTCCCAAAATAGGTGCTGGAGCAAGAAAGAATTAATTCTGGTGTGAAAGCTGTCAGTCTCTTCACAAAAGCACCTAGAGAAACAGACTGCTGTATGAAGCCATGGGGACATGCTTGCAGGGAGGTTTCACCCTGTTTAGGCGAGGATTAGTCAGGCAGGATCCCACAAGAGGCTGTTAGGAGAAGGAAGGAAGGACTTTTGTACAAGAATAATGGGGTTTCTCTCTAATAGGGTTTTCCACACCATCAAAGTTCTATATGACGATATTTCATCAGCATAGAACATTTTGTGCCTGAGTGGCCATACACTTTTAATTGGGCATCTTTGATTAAATTTACACTGCCCACCCCCTGCCAGCTTTACCTGTGTTACAATACCTTAAAAAAAGATGCCGGTGGACCGCCAGGCCGCGATTTGTGTGGCAGTGATTGATGAGAATTTTTGCATTTGCCTTTACAGATAAAGAAAATATGTTATTAGCATTCTGAATTAAGGCCTCCAATTTCCCAAAGGCAAAAATTTTGAAGTGTACTAAATATTTATTGCAATTTAGTAAAATATATATGTGTGTATATATATATATAACCATGTCTACTTAGCCACACGTGCCATTCATGGTACAAGAGCATTTCAGTCAACAAAGGACTGTGTGTATGAGCTTCAGATCCTAATGCCATGTTTTTACTGGGCCTTCTCTACATTTAGATACTCAAACATGTGCCACTGCAATATTCAGAATAGCACTGCAGGCTATCCTCGGGTTATGAATGAGATCAGTTCTATAGGTTTGCTCTTATGTTAAATTTGATGTAAGCTTTTAGCCTCCGCTCATAGGTGCAAATTGTACATAAGCTGGATGTTTGTAACTCGGGGACTTACTGTATGCTGTCCAGGCTTGTACCCTGGGAGCAATAGGCCTCAATATCATCCAGGCCAGGCATGTGGGAGGCTGCACCCCCTCGGTCTGTGCACACTGACCCTCAGGTGCTCACACTGGCAAAGCCGCCTAGTGATGCTTTCTCAGAATGTAGCTCCTTCTTTAAGTGACCGGTGATTCTGCCTATATACAAGGACTGTCTGGATAGTATCCAGACATTGTTAATACTATTTTTCATTTCACATGAACAGCCCTCACATATAAATACACACACACACAAATTTAGAAGTCAAACCATAATGGATTGACTAAGTACATTATTGTAGACATCTATATGATGAAATAATCATTCAGAGTTATGTTGGAGAAGAACTTTGCCAACATGAGACAATGTCATTGGTATTATTAAGTGGAAAAATAAATAAATATCTTAATGATGTCTCATCTTGTAAAAAAAAAAAGAAAGAAAGAAAGAAAACCATGGCATATGCACAGAAAAAAAAAAAAGATAAACAACAATGGCTTTCTCTGGAAGGTGAAATCACTGGTAATTTTCTTTTCTTTTTTTTTTTTTTTTTTTTTTTTTTGCAGTTTTTGGCTAGGGCTGGGTTTGAACCAGCCACCTCTGGCATATGGGGCCGGGGCCGGCGCCCTACTCCTTTAAGCCACAGGTGCCACCTGGTAATTTTGTTATTATTTTTGTGCTTTCCTGACTCTTCATAAGTAAACATATGTTTATAATCTGAAAATATATACACTGTTTCAAAATCTTGGGTTTATGCCTATAATCTCAGCACTTTGAGACACTGAAGTGGGAGGATCACTTAAGGCTAGGAGTTTGAGACCAGCCAGGGCACCACTGTGAGACCTGTCTCTATTTAAAAAGTTAGAAATTAATCAGGTGTGGTGCTTGTGCATATAGTCCTGGCTACAAGGGAGGCTGAGGTGGAAGGATCACTTGAGACCAGGAGTTCAAGGTTGCAGTGAGCTACACTCGCACCACAGCACCCCAGCCTAGGTGGACAGAAAAAGACTCTAAAAAAGACTCTTTAAAAACTTAAAAATTTAAAATTTTAATATATTTCAAAATCCTGACTCATGTAAGCTAAAAGCTGTTTGAGAAGAAAAAAGCAGTCCCAACATCCAGGCATTGGCCTGGCACTCACAGCTGTGCCTTCACACATTCCCTTGGGACCAGACTCAGTTTCACAGACTATCTGCATGAGGAAAGGCCACTCTGCAACCAAGATGGGTCCAGACACAAATAAGACCCCTCCGTCATCATATCTAAACACAGACAAAACACGGCACTGTCCAAGCCACAAAATGCCAACCATCCCCTCTCAGGGGCAAGCTGAGTGACCAATGCGTCTGTATTAATGACAGCTTTGTCCTCACTCCAGCTGCCCTTCCTAGAGATAAGATTTAGTGAGGCACCTGACCAGAGAATTATCCCCTGATTCCTGACAGTATCCACTGCAGAGCAAAGCCCCACTTCCCAGGACTCTCTCCCAAACCATCCAGTCGAAGCCCAATTCCTAGCACCCTCCTACTGAGTGGCCCCTTGTTCCTCCCCCGACCCCCAGGTGCTCTCTCTGCCTGGCTGGCAGTGACCTGTGCAAGGTGGCTCAGACAGTAGGAGGTTCCCCACTTTGTGGATGTGAAACCCTGCACTCATGAGCCTCAGAGACCTGCGTCAGGCCTTGGAGAAGAGACCTCCCAGTGCCTGGGACACCGCTCATCTAACAATGCCAGTGAAGACAGCAGTGTAACAACAGCAGCAATCATGGCAACAAGGAAAGCCGGTGCCTTCTGTGAGTTGGGCACTTTTCTAACAAGCACCCTAAATGTATTAATATTAAGCATTTAGTCTTCACAAAACCTCATAAGGGAGGGATTATTAACATCCCTGATTTACAGAGAAGGAAACTGAGGCATTGACATTTTAAATCATGGTAACAAAAGGGAATTCCCAAGAGAGAAAAGCTTGGCAAAGGACAGCAGAAGAGTAAAATGTGTTTACTGTTTAATTGTGGGTCATCCATGTGTCCTCCATGCTTCGAGGAAGCACTTTGTGAAGCTGAGCTCCACCTGGCAGACTGGAGAGACAGGTGGATGCAGAGTGGCCACTCCCTGGACAGTGAGTAGTGACCACAGATACCCTGTAAATCTTGCAGTGACTCCAGACAAGCCATCCGCTCAGCCTGCTGGATGCCCCATGGTTAGGAAAGACCCTGGCCCTGGACACAGGGAGGGATGCTGTGTGCCTGCGAGACCCTCGGCCTTCCCGACCCTCGGCCTTCCCATCCAGGCTGTGCCTCAGGCTCCAGTCCCACAGGGCCCAGGGTCCTGAGAAAATGTCTGTCTTGCAGTGACAAGGACAGTGGCCCTGCCCTGCAGGACACCTGCCCTCACCTGTGTGGCTGCCCACAGGTGAATTAGTATTAGCATCAAAGGCCTGGAACCTGTAATCCTAGCACTCTGGGAAGCCAAGGTGGGTGAATTGCTTGATCTCAGGAGTGGGAGACCAGCCTGAGCAAGAGTGAGATCCCATCTCTACTAAAAATAGAAAAACTAGCTGGGCATTATGGTGGGCATCTGTAGTCCCAGCTATTTGGGAAGCTGACGCAAGAGGATTGCTTAAACCTAAGAATTTGAGGATGCAGTGAGCCATGATGCCATGGCACTCTATCCAGGGCAGTAAAGTGAGACTCTGTCTGAAAATAATAATAATAATTATTTTCATATATAATAATTATATATATATATATATAATTATTATTATTATTATTACTGAACAAAAGCCTGAAAGTAAGCAGGCAACATCCCGGTCCTGATGGCCTCACCTCAGTGGCTCCGTACCTGGTCTCAGGGGCAGGGCCTAGGTCTCTGTACTTTTTAGGAAGCTGCTTAGGTAACTCTAGTGAGCAGCCAGAGTTGAGAACTCTACTACAGGAGGCTGCCACAGAGCAAACCAGTGCCTTCCAAACTCGAGTTATGCATGAAAAAAGAGAGAGAGAGACAGGAGTAAATTGTGCCCATGTCTTCCCAGGCTGCGCTCACCGGGACTGGGAGGCCTTCATGCTCCAGGCGCAGCTGGGGGTCGGGGAGGGCAGCCTGCCAGCAGTTTCTGTAGGACACCTCATCTGTCAGGTACACCTCCTGGAGCCAGGACTTCTTAGATGATTTCAGAAGGGTCCTATGGTCACTTGATAAAAACAGCTGAAAACAGCAAACAGATGACTAAGTCAGCTATTCAAAACAAGGATCTATCAGCTGGCTAAATGGCAAGGAGGACACAGCAGTTTTCAGAAACCTGCTCTTGATGACTGTACGAGAAAGCTCAGTTATCCTCTGCCTTAGAAATGCTGTCTCAGAACACTCAGACCAACATACATGCGCCTCAAACTACTTTCCTGTGCTCCAAATAGCAAATTCAATCTTTGTCTCTCCTTCCCACTCCCTGCCCTCTGCTCCCCTCTTTCTCTTTGTCAGGGCAGAGGACATATATTTTATCTAATGTAAATGATGTTGCATGAAATGAAATACCATGATGATATTCGAAGCGACATCATCACAGCTGAATATCAATTTATCACAGTGCATATCAATTCACTTGTGAGCCTCCAGGGTGACCCACGCTTCTCTGAAGTCAATGTCCATACTGGGAATTGATGTCAAGGTATCTGGCTGCCTGTGACCTTGCCTAAAACCACCCCACACTGCGGAAAAGTCTGAGATGCTACTTCCTTGTCTGCTCTTCCCAGGTTCCCCCTCACCCTTGACGTGGAAGTAATGTCTGTATATTTTGACAGGTTTTTGATAAGTACCTCTCACGTGCAAGGCTGTGCTGTGAGGTGCTGTGGGGAAGGCAGAAATGAGTCACTATCCTCCAGAGGTCCTCCAGAGTCAACTAGCCCTATGTATTATCAAAACGTATAGAGTGGGAGTGGTAGTGCACACCTGTAATCCTAGTACATTAGGAGGCTAAAGCAGGAGGATTGCTTGAGGGCAAGAGTTCAAGACTTCAAGACCAGCCTGGGAAACAAGTGAGAGCTCCAAGTGAGCTACGATGGCACCACTATACTCTAGCCTGGGCAGCAAACAGAGTGAGAAGGACTTGAACCCAAACTTCCCATGAAAATGAAATGCTGAAGCTGAAGCTATAATGAAATCAGTGATGGAGCCCATGTCGATAGCTCAGAGAGAGAGAAAGAAAGAGAGAGATTATAAAGCTATAATCATTAGGACACTGTAGTACTTAGAATAAAAATAGACATTTAGAGTCCAATGGATCAAGATGAAAAGCTGAGAAGCAGCATGTAGTCTAGGTAATAATTTAATGTGTGCTGAGGAAGGCATCAAATATCAGTACAGAAAGGAATAATTATTCAAGAGTAAAAGATGCCTAGGGAAAATTTAAATATTCATATAAAACCCTTCATCCAAGTAAATTTCAAGTGGATTAAAGAATAAATGTAAGCAAAAGTCAACTGTAAACATCTGCAAAGTGGTTTTCTCCCCTACTTGTTAGCTTTTGAGGGTATATTTTTTGTAATCTGTGAATTACAGTTTACAATCTGTGAAGTGAAAAGGGCAGACTTGGACCAAAACTTCAGGTGAAAATGAAATGTTGAAGCTAAAACCATAATGAAATTAGCGATGGATCCCACGACTAGCATGCTCTCTGTCCGCTTTAATATATAGTTGTTGGACTGTTTTTGGCAACAGAAAACACTGATCCAAAGTAGATATGCAAAGTGATGACTCACCATTTTGTTTTCAAATCCTCCTGTTATCCCAAGGCAGAAGTACTGCCCATACCAGAGGACTTGTCCAGTGGCATCTGTGTCCAAGCTGTCAGTGGAGAATGGACATAGTGTAAACTCTCTGCTAGAACCACTCTGTCCCTCTGTGTTCTACGTATGTGATTTTGGTTACAATCGACTTTTCTGATAATGTATATTTATATACTATCACTGGTAAATAACTAAATAAAAGATCTTTCCTTTTGGCCTTAAAATCCTGCTGGCACCCTAATCTCTGCCCTGCACCAAGGCCAGTCCACAGAGCAGAGCGTCCCATTTTGTGGGCTTTTGGCTAGAGTGGACTCAGCGTGTCATACTAATATATACTGAGAAATTCTGGTCAAGTGCATTGACATCTTTAGAGAGAACCAAAGTAATGAAAGCACATGTAGTGAGAACAAGGTGGAGTTATTCAGGCCAGGATGAGACAACACAGCTGGTCTGGTAAGTCTGGGTCCTCCGTGACCTTCACCTCTGGTCTCCCATTCTTGCTGTTTTGTAAATTCAGTTTTAACCTAAAAGTGTGTATTTTGAGTAGTTTAGGGCAATTGACTTAGAATGTTAACTTTGAACTGGAATATTGTTTTGGGTCCTGGGTTATGCCAATTATTGTTGTTTAAGATAAAGATTAACATGGTTTTTACTTTGAACTTTTATGTATAAAACTGTGGTTTTGGAAGTGGAAGAACAGAGCAGTCTTGGAAAGGCTACTCTCACTGTTCTCCAGAATTCTGGCCTTCTAACAAATAAAGTTTGGTGGACCTAACCCCTCTGCATATTGGCTGACAGAGATAAGCAGCTGGACCCTTTTCATCCAGTTTCAGTAACATATTTGTAGGCATATAATACAATCTTCTCTCTCAGTCTTTTGGGAAACAGAAGTTATGGTTGATTTTTATTTGTATTAATATAAATTACCTATATTCAAAAGAAATCTAAATTAGGTTGGGCATGGTGGCTCACACCTATAATCTTAGCACTCTGGGAGGTTGAGGCAGTGGATTGCTTGAGCTCAGAAGTTCCCAACCAGCCTGAGCAAGAGTTAGACCCCCATCTCTACTAAAAGTAGAAAAACTAGCCTGGTATTGTGGTAAGCGTCTACAGTCCCAGCTACTCTGGAGGCTGAGGCAAGAGGATTACTTGAGCCCAAGAGTTTGTTGTGAGCTATGACACCATGGCACTCTACCCAGGACAACAGAGTGACACTGTCACAAAAAAAAAAAAAAAAAATGGAAAGAAATCTAAATTAAGACCTTAAAGGACTGGCTATATTCTTGTAATATGAACATGACTATCATGAATTAGAAATAGTTTTAATTGTGATTATATCTCTGTTTATTCTCTAAGGATTGAATTGCTTGTTTTCCAAATCTCCTCAAGTACATTTTTTTGAGTTGGTGAGGTAGGGGCAGTCTCTCTATATTGCTCAGGCTGGTCTTAAGCTCCTCACCACAAACTGTTCTCCCACTTCAGCCTCCCAATGCATTGGGATTACAGGTGTGAGTTAATGTACCTAGCCTTCAGCCACATTTTTAATGAACAGTTAATTTTAAAACAGCAAAGCCTGCCCAGTGCCACCTTGTGTTCAATTCTATATTTTTCTTGTAAAAAACAACATAGCAACATTAAGAACAATGAAAGTACTCAAACAAACTTAAGTATCCTGAAATGTTATTGGAAAAACCCACTTTGCTTCCAGGCAGAATATGAATTTCAATTCCCTAGATCCAATGCTTATGAATTAAGCATGTTGAATTGAACACAAATGACCAATTATCCTGCTGGCTAAGGAAAGAAAGGATTGTAAAGTCCTCTTGACGGTAATTCTCAAAGTAAGCACGGAAGATGAGAATGGAAAATGTTCATGTAACCTCTGCCTCCAGTCAGCTGCTCCAGCCCCGAGGGAATCCTTAAACTACAAGTGGAAATAGACATTGATGATGAAAATGAGCCAAAAATTAACGAATTTCTACCTGAAAATGATAAAGGTGTTTCTGCTGACCGGGATCTTAGTTGGAACGGCGCTCAGCCCACAGGGCAGCTCCAACTCATCACTCAGATGGGCTTGAACTTCATCGGGAGTCATACACAGGCTCAGGTCCCCGCTCAGAGACACACCAACTTCTGTCTCAGAGTAGTGGGGATTTACAAGCATCACTTTGTCACCGTAGTGAATATATCCATCCTGAGATACAGAAAGCTGCATCTACAATTTCAATAGGCGTGTATTACATAAACCTCACAGTTCCACAGCTGAGGCCTCTCTCAGCCAGACCTTCCTCCCGTCTCAGACTGACGTCTGAGTAGGTAAGGATTTCACTGGATTCCCCCAGACCCTTACTTCATTCTTCCTTTCCCTTTGCCAAAGCAAAGCCCCCAGTAATCCCAAATGAAGCTGGAGTCACATGACTTGATTTCGCTACTAATCTATTCAACATCCACTGAAAATTTCTTGACCATCAACTAAGGAGCATTTTACTTATTTATAAATTTATTCATTCTTTTCTTTATTTGGAAAATGCAAGTAAACATAATTAAGAGCAGAATTCCCTCATGTTTCTGAAGTGTTAAGTAATTTAAAACACTGTTGCTTTCAGAGTAATAAAACAACCTGTTCTTTTCCAAATGACAGCTCATGCATGAGATTTTTTTCTTTTCTTGCTTAACATACACTCACACTTCATTGGATAGAATTTTGAAAACAAGGTTTGCATTTCAGGTTACCGGTCTCAAAAGATTGTTTTTTAATCTTCTGCTTTTCTGTATGAGAAGTTGCCCTTTATCTCGCTTCTCTAAGAAGTCTTTCATGTTCTCCTGGTCAAAGAGAAAAGCGCGTGAACTCCTAAACGCCAACAACAGTCCTGGATAGTACAAATTATTGAGAGTTTTTAACTCCGAAACACTTCAAGTTGAAAAATCAAAATTTTGGTATAGGGAAAGAAAGGTGAGCATAATAAAGGGAATAGTGGGGAAGATTTTAGCACTACTTTAGTAGTTTTACTTCATTGGGGAAAGTTTAGAAAAATAAGAAAGGCACAAAAAAGAGAGAGAGAGGAAGAGGGAGAAAAAGAGACATCACTTATAATTCCTCCAGGTAGAGACAACTTTTGGAGCGCAGCTGTCCCGGCTGAGGCTTCCCTCGAGAGCGCAAGGATTGGGACCGAAAGTCCGCCCTTCCCCGACCCAGTCCTGAGCCCGGGGAAGCCGAGGGAGGAGAACACCCCGCAGGCAGCACCGACAGAGTGGGGTGGGGTGCAGGGGGACAGAGAGGGCAGCATTCCTACTCAGAGCCTGCATCCTCACCTGGGACAGCCCGGGGACCGTAACACTCTTAAGGGACAGGGCAAATTTAGCAGGGTTCTAGATACCTCCTTTGGTACCGGGGGCTGGGAAGCGAAGAGACCCACAGAAAGGAGAGTGAGTGTGCTCAGAGTAGGGCCATGAGACCTGGGTTTTCGGGACAGCAGATGAGAATCCCTGGAAGTTCTAAAAGGGTGGGATTTTAAGGGCATCCACTATCCCCGGGGTGAGGGGGACGACTCGAGGCGCTCAAAGTCGGGGGAAAGGCTTGGGAGTCCCCGAGCTGCAGGTGCGCTCGGCCACGCCCCACATACCTCCTCCAGGTAGATGTCTTCGTTCCAGTTGCCCATCCGGACTCGGGGACCGTACAGGTTCTGCGCCATCGAGCCCTGCTGTCCAGCGACCAGGTCTCCCTAGAACCAAGACACTCTGGAAGTTAGCGTGCCCCGTTGCTATGACGACCCGACTCCCGGCAATTGGTCAAAGCCCAGGTCTCTGCTGGCCAATAAGTGACAACCTGACAACCCCCCACCCCCACCCCCAGCCCCGCGGCGGAGGCGTCAGAGTCAGCGCCGCCCCGGAGTGCTGGGCCCCACCCTGCGGCGGTCATTCTCTACCCCAACCCATGTCCACCTCTTAGATTTCATTAATTGCAAAGCAGGCCAGAGGAAAACCTGAGCTGAAAAACCGCTTACTCCCTAGGGATTAACTTAAAACTTACCTTTCTATTAGAATCCAAATGCTACTAGCTCGAGTGCCACTAGCTTGTGGAGGCGGCAAATGGAGCTTTTAAATGGAAGCACAGCTTGCTTGCAGACTATTTTTTTGTAATCCAGAGCAACAGCAATTCCACCTTAATCATGAAACAATACGTGGTCAATCTGGAAATCTGGAAACCAAAATAACATAGAAAGAAGGGGGAACTAAAAACTCCAAGGCTCCCAAAGTAAGAAACACATCATGTCAGTATGTTTGTACATTTCTGAGGTGGTCCCTATTTTTATGAACTTGACAGCATTCCTCCTTCTTTCTTCTCTCTGGAAATTAAAGGACAAGCCTGTAATTTGCAAGAACTCTTGACAGAACCTGAATATGTTACAGCCAACATTTTTAAAACAAAATATTATTTTAAGTGCAGGAGAGATGGACAGTTACTGTAGGAGACTGGGCGTGTTGCTGATTGAATGCATTCCTTAATTCACCATATTTATTATCTGCTAAGACAGGACAGACATGAAAGACAAGGCACCTTCCCCCCATCAGCAAACCCAGTCTGAAAGAGAAGCTAGTTTATGAAACCAAGTTATTTCAGGAAGACTATAATAAGTGCTATTAAAGATGTGTTGATGAAGGGCCATGGGAGTTTAAGGGGAGATAATTTCTGCCTTGAGGGATTAGGAGGCTAAGAATTGGATGACCATTGGGTGGTAAGGGAGAGGGATGCTTTGGAGTTGGACTTGGGAGGTTTTAAACTAGAGGGGGCTGAAGGATGAGATAGAAAAAGGAGGATTCTCACATACTCGTGAATCCACTCTCTGTCAGTAGTCTCCACCTTCTAGAATACTTCAAAAGAATGAATAGGGCAATGAACTTAGGTTAAACTTTATACCACTAAACTCATTTGATGAATTAAGAAACCGAGGCTCAAAGAAGCTAGCAGCTTATCTAACTTTAAACTGCTAAAATTTGCTCAAAGCTAAGACTCCCCAAATTTTCTGACTCTAGAGTTATATTTTTTTGCTGCATGTTTTCATATTTTCCATAAAGTCAAGAATAAGACAAAGCAGCTCTAGTCTCCCCATTTTTGTTTTTTGTGACAGTCTCCCTCTGTTGTCCAGGCTAGAGTGAAGTGGCTTCAGCCTGGCTCACAGCAACCTCAAACTCCTGGGCTCAAGTGATTCTCCTGCTCAGTACTCCTGAGTAGCTGGGACTACAGATGCCCACTACAGTGCCCAGTTAGTTTTTCTATTTTCTATTAACTCTCAAGCTCAAAAAATCCTTGTGCCTCCGCTGGCCTCCCAGAGTGCTAGGATTACAGGCATGAGCCACCACACCCAGCCTCTAGTCTCCACGTTTTTCAATTTTTTAATAATTCAGCCATTTTGTAATTCCTTATATTAGTATAGCTCTGCTCCCATCCACCTCCTCTGTACTATTATTGACAAGTATATTGTATTTCTATGTATTACAAATAAAACAATACAATTATATACACATTGTTTATGCAATTGTCTTTTAAATCAGTAAGGAGAAGAAATGTGCAGTTATACTCTTATGTAATTACATATTAAATTATTTTTATTGATGATGTTTATTTTTCCATATGGATACAGATTATTGCCTGGCTTCACTTGTTTTCTACCTGAAGAACTTTCTTTGGTATTTCTTTTAAATCAGGTTTGCTAGCAATAGCTTTTAGATTTGAAATATTTCTTTGTTTGCTTGCTTGTTTTTGGAGACAAGATCTCACTCTGTTGCCTGGGCTAGAGTGCAGCAGTATCATTATAGCTCACAGCGACCTCAAACTCCTGGGCTAGAGTGATCCTCCTGCCTCAGTTTCCCAAAGAACTGAGACTCCAGTCATGTGCCACTACACCCGGCTAGTTTTTCTATTTTTTTATGGAGACAAGGGTCTCACTATCCTGTTCAGGCTGAAGCAACACATTCTCTTAGTCTTTGCATACCTTCATTTTTATTTTACCTTCATTTAATGTAAGATAGTTCTGCTGGATACATGATTCTTTATTGGTAGAGACTTTTTTTTTCTTTCAATACTTTAAACATGCCATCTTACCAGCTATAAACTTTTCTTATTTTGATAAGAAATCAGCTGTTAGTCTTATCAGGGTTCCTTTATACATGCTCTTGCTGCTTTTAAGATCTTCTTTCTGCTTTGTCTTTCAACATTTTGACCATGTGTCTGGGTATTGATTTGTTTACTTTTATCCAACTTAAACTTGCTGGAAATATAGCTTGATGTGCTTTTCATCAAATTTGAAAGTTTTTCAGCCCTTTTTTAAAAATATTTTTTCTGATCTTTTGCCTCTATCCTGTTTTAATGAGAGTCCCATTACATTTATGATGGTGTACTCAAGATGTGTCCCACATTTCTCTATATACTTTTCTTCATTCTTTTTTTCTCTGTTCTTCAGTGCACATAATTTCTATTGATTTATTTTTAAGTTTGTCGACTTCTTTTCTTTGCAAGCTCAAGTCTACTGCTGCATTCCTCTAGTGAATTTTTCATTTTGGTTATGGCACCTTTCAACTCCAGAATTTATGTTTCATTATATGTTATTATTCCTACCTCCTACTGATATTCTACATTTAATGAGACATTGTCAGAATGCCTTTCTTTAATTCTTTAATCATGGTGTCTCAGTTCTTCAAATGTATTTATAATGGCTGTTCTGAAGGCTTCACCTGAGGAGTCCAGCCTTTGGGCTCCCTCAAAGGCAGTTTCTGTGGTCTGTTTTGACATCCTTTCCCCCTGTGTATGGGTCAGACATTCTTTGCAGGTCTCCTAATTTTTTGTAGAAAACTGGACATTTCAGATACAAGCATACTTCATTTATCTCCACTTCACTTTATTGCACTTTGAAGGTATTTCATTTATTATGAATTGAAGGTCTGAGGCAACCCTGAATCAGGCAAGTCTATCAGTGTCATTTTCCAACAGCATGAGCTCTTTGTCTCTCTGTGTCAAATTTTGGTAATCCTCACAGCATTTCAATTGTTTTATTATTACAATTATGTATCTCTTCTAGTGATCTGTGATCAATGATCCTTGATGTTACTATTGTAATTATTTGGGGGTGCCATGAACAGTGCTCATTAAAAATGGTGAATTTAATAAATGCTATTGATTGCTTCACCAAACAACTATTTCTCTCCCCCCCCCCCTTGGGCTTCCCTATTCCTTGAGACACACAATTTTGACATTAAGCCTGCAGTGGCCTCCAAATGTTCAAGTAAAAGGAGAAGTCATGTATCTCACTTTAAATCAAAAGCTAGAATGATTGAGCTTACTGAGGAAGGCATGTCAAAACATGACAAGCTGAAATGTAGGCTTTTTGCACCAGTTAGCCAAGTTATGAATGCAAAGAAAAAGTTCTTGAAGGAAATTAAAAGTGCTATTTTAGTGAACATGCAAATGATACAAAAGCAAAATAGGGCCAGTGCCCGTAGCTCAGTGAGTATGGCGCCAGCCACATACACTGAGGCCAGAGAGTTCGAACCCAGCCTGAGCCAGCTAAAACAACAATGACAACTACAACAAAAAAATAGCCAGCTGTTGTGGCAGGCACCTATAGTCCCAGCTACTTGGGAGGCTGAGGAAGAGAATCACTTAAGCCCAAGAGTTAGAGGTTGCTGTGAGCTCTGACACCATGGCACTCTATGGAGGGTGACAAAGTGAGATACTGTCTCAATTTAAAAGAAAAAAAGCAAAATAGCTTTATTGCTGATATTGTAGTGTTTTGAACAGAAGATCAAACCAGCCACATCATTCCCTTAAGCCAAAGCTTAATCCAGAGCAAGATTCTATCTAATTTTCTTCAATGCTCTGAAGACTGAGGAAGCTGTAGAAAAAAAAATTTAAAGCTATAAGAGGTTAAGAACCCATCTCCAGGCTGGGTGCCATGCCTCACACCTGTCATCCTAGCACTCTGGGAGGTCAAGGTAAGTGGATTGCCTGAGCCCAAGAGTTCCAGACCAGCCTGAGCTAAAGTGAGACCCCATTTCTAAAAACAAACAACAATAAGAAATAGCCAAGCATTATAGCAATACTGTAGCCCCAGCTATCAGGAGGCTGAAGCAAGAGAATTGCTTGAGCCCAAAAGTTTGAGGTTGCTGTGAGCTATGATGCCATAGTGCTCTACTGACAGTGACAAAGTAAGACTGTCTCAAAAATAAAAAAAAAAAAAGAAAAGAAAAGAAAGAACCTGTCTCCATAGCATAAATGTGCAAGGTGAAGCAGCAAATGCTGATGGAAAAGCTGCAAGTGATCCATAAAATCTAGGTAAGATCCTTGACGAAGGTGGCTACACTAAACAATAGGTTTTCATTGTAGACAGAAGCACTGTATGTCAGAAGATGCTGTCTAGGACCTCCATAGCTTGAGAGAAAAGTCAATACCTGGCTTCAAAGCCCAAGAACAGGCTGATTCTGCTGCTAGAACTAAGGAGGTGGTGACTATAACTCGAAAACCATGCTCACTTCCCATTCTGAAGACCCTAGAGCTGCTAGGACTTACTACCCTTATCTACCCTGCTCTTGTTCTATGAAACAGAATGGAACAACAAAACCTAGATGGCAGCACATCTGTTTACAGCATGGTTTGCTGAATATTTTAAGCTCATTGTTGAGACCAACTGCTCAGCAAAAGAAATAAGATTCT